AACTATAAGCAAATGAAAGCATAGAAAAAACTGTGGAGTCCATTATTTGTTCGTCAACTACTGAATATAAGGTCTTCCCTGGAAGACCAGTGCCATTCTGTTGAAGAAAACTGACCTTTTTCTCTCGCTGTAGGTATAAATGACAGTTCTGTTATGATCTTTTGCCTTAATGTCTAGGTTTATAGTCATTCATTCATTCATTCATTCATGCATTTTAAACTATATCAAACTAAAATATAACAAGATAAAACAAAATCTATCACTTCGAAGTCTGACAGGATAGACCAGCAGAAGGAAAAGAGCTCAAGAGAAGGCACAAGAATCAGAGACTCACTAGTTTGCACACTCAGGAATCCCATAAAAATACTAAGGTGGGAACCATAATATAAGCACAGAGGATCTGGTGTAGACTCATGGAGGCCCTTTGCATGCTGCTTCAGTCTCTGTGAATTCATATGAGCTTTGCTTATGTTAGTTTGGTGCCCTTCATCCCCCCTGACTCATTTTTTTTTTTTTTGCCTCTTTTTTTCTGTGGGCTTCCCTGAACTCGAGGGGAATGATTTGTTGGAGACATCCCATTTAGGGCTGAGTGTTCCAAGGGCTCTCACTTTCTGTGTAATGACTGAGTATGGGTGTCTTTGTTACCATCTGCTGCTGGAGGAAGCTTCTCTGATGATGGTTGAACAAGATACTGATCTATCAATATAATAGACTATCATTAGAAATCTTTATCACTACACTATTATTTTCTTTCTTATAAGTCCAGTATTATTAGATTTCCCCCTAGGTTCCTGGACTATCTAGTCTCAGGTTCTTGGTCACCTAAGCAATATTGAGTAGGAGCTTTAAGTCATATCACTTATTCCTTGGTTATCCCCACAAGCTTTGTGCCAATATATCTTGTAGATAGTTTCTATAATATATCTTGTAGAAACACACAGAGGTTTATATCAATTATCAGTTGTTTGGCCTTTTAGCTCAGGCTTATTATCAACTAGCTTTTACAACTTAAATTAACGCATAAATCTTGTCTGTGTTATCTACTTTTTATCAGTGAGGCATTATCATCTTTCTTCCTCTGCATCTGACTGGTGACTGCAGACTGTGCATTTTCACTTTCCCAGAATTCTCGTAGTCTGGTCATGTTGCCCTGCCTTTACCTCCTGCCTAGCTACTGCCAGTCAGCCTTTTATTAAACCAATACAAGTGACAAATCTTTATAGGGTACAAAAGCATTATCCCACACTAGGTAATACTCCATTTTACATAAAGGGGTTTGTGGCTGGCTTGGTTTTTATGTTTCTCTTTTGATAGTTTGTAGAATACCCTTCTCTAACACAGACCTTGTGACATAGGGTGATTGGCTTTGTGAAGAGCCTTCTCACTAGCTGTCATCTCCATGTTTAGTGAGTTGCATAGGTGTTGTCTTTAGTTAGCAATGGGGCCCTGCTTTCACTTTGTTGAGAGCAGCCAGTAGTCTCAGCAGCATTATGGGTTGCTTGGGGATTCCCGTGGGCCCCTTTGGCCAGTGCAATTAGATAACCCAAACCTAGTAATGGAAACTTTATTTGGTGAGAAGAAATTTGGTGATTTCATTTAGATTGTATTTGTATATGTATATTTTTTAGGAAATTTCTATTGTATTAGGTTTCCATACTACCCCTCAAATGTCCCTTATTTTAGCTGTCTTCCCATATTCTCTACTACTATCCCCTCTTCCCTTCCCAACACCATTTGATCCTCCCATTCCAGAGGCTCCCCTCATCCACTAATATCCTTTTCCCCTTTCCTAATTATTTCTATCTATCTGTTCCTATAATTACTTCATCATTGTGTTTCTATGGATTTGTGCTTGGTTATCATTGACTTAACAGCTATTATCCATGTATAAATGAATATATACATATTTGTCTTTCTGTGTTTGGAATACCTCACTGAGTATGATTTTTTTTCTAGTTTCATCAATTTGCCTGCAGATTTCATGATGTCATTTTTTAAATGGCTGAGTAATACTTCATTATGTAAATGTACCACATTTCCTTTACCCATTTTTCTGTTTAGGGATATTTAGATTGTTTGCAGTTTCTGACTATTATGAATAGAATAGTAATGAACATTGTTGAGCAAGTATCTCTGTGATGGATATCTTTTGGGTATATGACCAAAAACAGTATAGCTATATCTTGAGGCAGATTGATTCAATCTTCCTGAGGAATCACCACACTGATTTCCAAAGTGGTTGAATGAGTTTGTATTCCTACCAGGAATGTATGAGACGACTTCTTACTCCATATCCTTGCCAACATGAGCTGGCACTTGTTTTGTTGATCTTAGCATTCTCAGGTATAAGACAAAATCTCCCAAGAAGTTTTGATTTCCATTTCTCTGATGGCTAAGGATGTTGAACCTTTCTTTATGTGCTTTTCAGCCCTTTGGGTTTTCTCTATTGAGAATTCTCTGTTTAGATCTGTACCCCACTTTTTAATTGGGCTATTTGTTTTCTTGATATCTAGTTTCTTTTCTTTTTTTTTTTTTTTTTTTTTTTTGAGACAGGGATTCTCTGTGGCTTTGGAGCCTGTCCTGGCACTAGCTCTGTAGACCAGGCTGGTCTCGAACTCACAGAGATCCACCTGCCTCTGCCTCCCTAATGCTGGGATTAAAGGCGTGCGCCACCATTGCCCGGCGATATCTAGTTTCTTGATTGCTTTATATACTTTGAATATTAGACCTCTATGGAAGATATAGTTGGTAAAAATGTTTTCTGTTTTCTCATTCTGTAGGCAGCTGGTTTGTTGGAATGATTATGTTTTAGCCAAGTGAAGTGGGTGTGGAGTCCATGGTAGAGTGCTGTTTTACGGGTCATTGAGAAGTCACAAATGATGAGCTAGAAAAAAAAAAAACGCTGAAAGGAGGAACTTGGGGTGTCCTGGGGCCAAGTCACAGGGGAATATAGGTTGTTTGGGAGGTGGGGCTCGGACTAGTAGGCTATAGCAGGACTAAGAATAAATTTGGGGAGATCAGAATGGAGGACATGAAGGAGGATTTTCATTTCCCTATGTGAGTGTCAGCCTAGTCTGGCAGCGGTGGTTCAGTGAGTTGGCCAATTCAGAAAGAACTGAAGATGTACTAAAAGGAAAGGCTGAATGGATCTGTCAAGAAGAAATAGGGGGATCTTGGGGCATGTACAAGACTCTGAGTTATTAGGAGATGGACATATGTTCCTGTGGGTGAACTGCAGCAAGACCAAGGATCTTTAGGTGTTTTCTTATGTAGGAATTCAGTGAAGTGGCTTGTTTATTTGAATGATCATTCAGTTTCAAAATGGTTTCTGCATTGTGATGCTTATTTAATTAATTCATATTAATTAAATTTGAAAATCTTCTGTAAAGATTTACAGAAGATTTTCAAATAGGACTCTTGCTACAGTGTATGGACTGAAGTTTTGTTGTACCTGAATTAAGAGATGTCATCCTATAAATGAGAAAATAATTACAGAATTTTATTGCACTTTTCTATGATCCCTAAAGTGTAAATCTTGCATTTTAAAGAAGACTTTGGTCAGTTTCCAGAGCTTCAGTTATATATAAGTTATATATAACACAGTTATTTTGTGAACTAAAATGTTTGAATGATTTCTTCCTTTTTTACTGCTTTTTCAATTTTTTTCCTTACACCAAAGTGTTAGGAAATAGAATTAGTTTATTAATTAAATAATTGTTTAAAGATTAAAATAAAACTAGAACAACCCTAAAGGTCTTTAGTGTAAAAGGGAAATGATATAAAGGGTTGTTTATAAGGCCACTATAATACTTATTAGAGAGAACCCTTTTAGTTCACATAGAAGAAGATTTAATGCCCCTCTGTTATAGCACTTTGTGGAGGGTGAAATGAATCTTTACGGATGTACCCAGGTTTGGGTATTAGGATTTAGCTATGAGGAAAGTATGTGAGGAAAACAATATTGTTTGCCAAAACATTCTAAACAGCTATGAATTATAGTAAATTAGTTATTAATTGGTAAATACTCTTAAAAATCAGAATTTTTTTCTATTTTAGTACTTTCTTTTCTTTTTTTTTTTGAGATAAGGTTTATGTAGTCAATGCTGGACTTAAACTAGCTGTGGAGCTGAGCCGGTTTTTAATCCTCCTAGCTTCAGTTCCTAAAGTTCCAAAACCATTGGCATTACTACCATTCCAGCCACTTTTAACAAAAACAAACAATAACACAACAAAATTCCTTTTACTTTTAGATCAGAAATTATAGCTAGTTTTCACCCATCCCTTGAACTAACTGGGGCTAAACAAAACTAAATTATTCCAGTAATTTTACCAAAATTTAGATGAGTCGTTTACAGTTGAAATTATGTATTTAAATTTTCTTGGAAATATATGCTGTTATTGTTTATTGAGAACTACTCTGAGTACAGGGTCTATGGTTTGGAAAAATGTGAATTTTTCCTGGAGTATGAAATTTGTAGGACACAGTGGATCACATACTAAAGTAAAATAGGCATGACTGGGGGAGGGCTGTCAGAAGGTATGTTTTGCTCTTGGTTTCCTAAGGTGATGTTTCATGTTGAATAGGCCCTCAGAACTAATGTCCAAACAAGAAACAAACAATAAAAAACTTCATCCCCCAAATTAAATATGTACCAAATATCAGCATTATAACTCAGGCTATCTGCTTTAAATAAAAATGATTATTATTCTCTTCTTAGATAGCACCAAGCGGGAAATGAGTACTTACGTTTAATTTTCATTGGAATCATGCAGTTATTGGATGCAATTTTACATTGATAATTGTATAGAAACAATATGTTGGCAGTAATTTTGGAATAATTTTAATGGATATATGCTTATCACTTTTTAGTAAGTGCTATATTTTTCACTTTTAAGCAATAAAACATAATAGTGTAGTACCTGACTTTGATTAATAAATGCTGTTTTTCATTTGCTAATATTGATTTTGCTCTCCTTCTCCCTGTTTTGGTTCTATCTAGGGTGTGGATGAATGGAATATAGCTCGCCTAAATACGGTCTTGGATGTGGTTGAAGAAGAGTGCGGTATTTCTATTGAGGGTGTAAATACCCCCTATCTCTATTTTGGAATGTGGAAAACAACATTTGCATGGCACACGGAGGACATGGATCTCTACAGTATTAATTATCTACATTTTGGGGAGCCCAAATCTTGGCAAGTCACTAATTTAATATTCACATCCTTTAGAGTTGTGAGTCATTGAGTGTTGTGCATTATTGAAGAGAATTAATTCTTTGATAGAGTGTAAGGAAGTTTTGACTTGTAATCATATAATCATTCTTTTCTTCTCAGATTTTTGAGTAGAAACTTTAAGCCCAGTGGTTTCCTATGGACATTTTGTATGCCATGGATTAATATAATCTTTATCTGAAGTAATTTGTGTAATGTCTTTATTTCTTTGAGTATTTGTTAGAAATTTTGAGATAAAATTAAAAACATGACATCTTGGATGTAGAAGAATCTTGATCTGTTGATTCAGCTTTCTCTTAATGATAATCCTCATTTGGTCATTAATGTGACAAGGAGAATGAATCAGGGGACCTATTAGCAGTCCATGGGAAATAGTATTGGTAAGAATGGCAACACACTTAAGTTGTTATATTGTCACAAGCTGTTGTGAGCCATGACACAATTGCTACAAATGACAGCTGATATTTATAAGGCTGACATACATGGTGATCAACTGATGGAGAAAATTTATAGGCAGGGCTTATTGAAAATATTGCATATAATACTGATTGCCTATGTCTGTAAATTCATGTGTGTAAATGGTATCTTCCCAATACCTGCAATGTAATGTGTAATCTATCGTGATGTGTGTATATATGATTACATCTCAATCTTATGGACATATATATCCATGGATAGTCAGGAAGATACCTTTTCATTAAGCTGTATAGTTTTGATATGTAGCAAATACACTAGGATATGCTTCATAACTAGATCTATTGTCCCACAAGGACTCTAAGACATTTAGGCCCTGTTTTTTATCACTAGCTCAAGACTGGCATGAATAACACAACAGTTTCTTTTTACTTCTAAGAAAAGCCACATACAATTCATTGATTCATAACCTCAAGAGCATATTCAGACTAGAATGAATGTCTCTGTGAACAAATTGTAAGTTAAAAACTTTTCTAATTTGCACAAGGACGGAATTGCAGGTGTCTAACCAAGGTTATTAGCACAAAGTGACCTAGAACTGCTATGCCAGCTTTTTTAGCCAGGTTTGGCTGATAAGAGACCAGCAGCTACTTTCTACTAAATTTCTTGAGCAATTAACACTCTGCACAAACTTCTAACCTCAATTTATGGTACAAAATTCAAGGCTCAGTTTAGTAACTTTATATTTTAGTCCTAAAATTTATATGATGGATAGGAATAACAAGTAATAAATTAATCAAGACCCGTGAGAAGCAGCTCTACATGTGAAAGGCGTTGCAGATGGCCAGGACTATGGAAGACAGCCTGACCTCACAGTCTTGAATAAAATGTTACAAGCTTTTCTCCTATAATTTTCTCCTTGTACTCTGGGGCTAAACACAGGATAAGAAAATATATCTTTAGACTTGGGACACTTTCCATGCTAGCCTTAATTAAAGTACTGAAGTGCCCAGCACTCTTTATCCCTGCCTATGTGTTCCCATGGTAAATAGCTCTGCCACTTATCTTTACTCAGAAGTGCATTGTGACTCTGAGAAGAAGATTTTGTAACCCTTTTTATTGACAGAAGTTTGCTGTTAAATATGTATATAAGCTGTGTGCCCAGAGAATTAGGGAGAATGTAATTAGAACGAGAGAATTGAAACTTAAAATTAGAGAAAATTAGAACAAGAGAATTAGAACCAGAGAATTGGAACCAGGAAAAAGAGAACAAGAAGTAAAAAGAACATGTCCCTCACTTCATGTATGTGAATCTTTTTCTTTTACATAAGAAAATTTTCCTAAAGTTCTCGCTGCTCTGAGGTGTTCTTTTTGTTACCTTGGGAACAGCATTAGCAGTTAGACTCACCACTGCAACAATATGTGGTGCATATGTTTATTAAGATGGCGGCTCATCGTTCACACTGCGGTGGGCTCATAGTAATTCTGTTTCAGTTGCCTGAGTGTTGAGATTACAAGTGTTAGATTGGTTTGATGTGGTTCCTGAACTCACTGTATAACTTACATGGATCATAGACTTCCAGTGATTATTTCTGCTTTTGCCTTCCATCTGTTGGAATTAGAGGCATGTGCTATTTTTTTTGTAATGACTTTAAAATGTATCAGTGAAAAATGAAGTATATGCCACATTCATTACTCATTTGTAGTTATTAGCTTATTAGTAATACTGGTTACTTCTGTTTTTAGTCAATTTCTAATATAAATTTAATTTTCTCTAATTCATACATATGCAGGCTGACATATAGACAGGAGCATGTGGTATATCTTTTTGACAGTATAGGAGATAAATTGTTTTGGATGCTTGTCAGCGATACTTCCCAACATGAAACACCTTTTCTCACATAAGAAGAGAGTAGCCTCTTCTAGTTTCACTTTGATAGAGCCTTGGAATGATTTGTATAGTATACATCCCTGTCTTGCCAGTACTTCCACTTGTATAATTTGTGCTACTTTAGTAACAACAAAAAAGAACATTCTATTGGTCAAGTAATTTTTTTACTTATTAAAATTTTATTATAAAGAACGTACAAACAAAAAAAAATAATCACACAGTGAGATTAGCTGGACCAAGATCTCCAGATGTTGGTCCAGTGTTTCTGAGGTCAGGAGCTCCACTCAGTTGTATCTCAATGAACTCTATAAAGAGAGTATCCATTCTGGGGAACTTCACATTGGGTTTTGCATTTTTACAAATACATTTATCAAATACATTTTTATGTACTTAACATCAAAAAACTAAAAAGTTCAAGATTCAATTAAAATTAGCAAAACACTTAGATAACACTTGCTTTCCTTACATCTGTCCTTTACCTTCAGTCCTTTCTCATACCCTAATATTTTCCTGTTCTTGTTTTCTTTTTCTGTGCTCTTCTATACCAACATGTACATCTGTTTCATCATACACTTACAATGCTAGGATCCGCATGAGAGGGAGAACGTGTAGGTTGTTTTGCTTTCCTTTCTGAGATTGTGTCACCTCACTTAATATCATACATTCTAAATCCTTCCATGTTTTCGCAAATTTTATGATTTCATTTTTCTTTAGAGGTAAGTAGTCTTCTGTTTTATAAACGTACTATGTTTTTATTATCCATTCATTCATCTGTTGAAGGACAATTAGGTTGGTTCCATTTCTTTGCTATAGTACTTAAAATAGCTTTTCTTTTTTTTTCTTTTCCTCCCCTCTCCCCACAACAAAGTCTCTCTATGTTCACAGCTCTGTCTGTCCTGGAAATCTCTATATAGACCAGGTTGGCCTTGAACTTACAAACATCAACTTACCTATTCTTCACAGGTACTAGGGTGACTGCTCTTGGGTAGTCCAGTTTTTCAAAAAGATTAGTTCTTTGAGAATATTGTATACCAAGTTGTGACCATATTCACCCTTCCATTCCCAGCTCCACTTCTTCCCTTCACACTCTAACTTTAACCCTCCACCCCACCTCTCCAAGGTGAATTTGTCCTGCTGAACTATTTTTGGATGAGTGAGTGATCTTTTACTAAAACACGATGGGTTTAACAGATCTTACACTTTTAGAGAAAAGTGATCTTTTCTCTGTCAGCAGCTAAGAATTGTCATATCATGAGGTTTTTAGTTCAAAATTTGGGGAATATTTCAGATACTGCATATTTTAAAGCACTAACACCTGTTGGTCAAGAGTCCTTTGGCAAACCTCTCTCCAAAGTATTCACATTATGAGTCACAACAGTAGCAAAATTACACTTATGATGTCACAATGAAAGTAATTTTATAGTTGGGGTCACCACAACATGAAGAACTACATTAAAGGCTTGCAGCATTGGGAAGGTTGAGAACCACTACACTGGGAACATTGGATGAATATATTTGTTCTTTAGGGTGAAAAGATTAAAACCCAGATTTTTTTAAAGTTATATAATTGTGAAATAAATAGATAAGTAAAAGCTACAGTTAAAAGACAACAGTAAAGTCTGAAACATGGCTCACTGGTAAAGGTTCTTGCCACCAAGTATGAAAACCTAAGTTTGATCCCTAGAAACTAACTTGGTAGGAGAGAACCAACTTCTGAACGTTGTTCACTAACCATCACAAGCACAGATGGTACACATGTGCATTCATACACATAAACAGTAAGTATAATAAAAATTACAAAACGATAGCAACCAATGTTTTCTTTGAAACAATACCAAAACTGGCCAGTTTCTAAACAAACAAAATACCTATGCCCAGAAGTATCTACAGTACATAGGAAATTTTTTGGTTGAGGGTTTGTTTATCTTGATCCTTTGCTCCCTAACCTTTAAGTTACAATTGATCTTGGACATTTAAGTTGGTAGTTTATATTGATTTTCTTCCATTCTGTGTCTAAGGTACGGACTTTTGTGATTTCTTATTTTCTACTCAGTTTATCTAAGTTCAGTTTAGTGTTCAAATTTTGTAAGCAGAGGTATTTATATAACTATCTATAATATTATCTATAATATTATAAACAACATTTTCTTATTTATTCTTAATATTTTAGGTATGCTATTCCTCCGGAGCATGGAAAACGACTGGAAAGATTAGCCCAAGGTAAAACTTGCTTTCCATTTCTTATCTTATGCTTTTTGTTTTGTGGTAGTTCAGCAGTTTATTGACTGTGTTTATGTATGTTCTCCTCAAACTGTTGGCTTTTAAATGTTACCCTAATCGAATAATGTTACTTATTTTCATATTAATTTGTGATGTTTCTTCTGTTACATAATCTTCATAATGATTTTAGCTACTGTTTATATTTCATTGGGCTTTTCGAATTTCAATCAATTTTGACTATTCCTCAATTTCTTTTCTTTCTTAAATAACATTAAACTTTATCTTTTGCTATTTACTCTTCCCCCAAATATGTCAGCTGGTTATGAACTATTGGAAATAGCAAGTAGAGTTGAATTTGAATGATAACTGGTAGCAATCATTCTGCCTTTATCTAAAACTACTCTACAGCAAATTTTTAATATTTTAACCTTTATCTAAAACTACTCTACAGCAAATTTTTAATATTTTAATAATTTCTCACTCCCCTATTAATCATCAGCTTTCTGTAGCTCTTCAGCTAGCAATGGGGGCTTATGAGCCCCTCACTACTTCATGCTGGAATGTTGACATCCTTGGTCTTTTACAGGTCTATTACAGGCATCCAGAACTGCTGTGGGTTCTTAAATGCAGCACTCTGTTATGTCCAGAAGATACTGTTTTACCCTGGTCCTCTCTGACCTCTAATTTTTTAAGTATTTTTATGGCCGTCTTTCTCTATGCCTCTCATGTCTTGAGGAGTTTGTTTATTATATAGTTGTCACACTTATGGTTAAACTCCTCAAAGATACTTATTCATAGAAAGACCCTTCTCCTGTGAAGTCTGAGAAGCATACTAATGTGTGCATATAAAGATGCATATGTAGAAAGAAAACAGATTGATTTAATATCTACTTAGCAAAATAACAATAGTTTCGCATGGGACCTGTGATCTCCCCAGCAGTGGATTCTTGGCCAGATTTATAGTACTAGAAATTAGGTTATTCCTATAGAGCAGGCTTAAATCCAGTTTAGCAGTTGATTGTGCCCATTCATGTGATTAGTATACCCATGAACATGTCTTTCCAGGGCAGTAGTTATTGTAGCTTCCAGGATTCTTGGTTGTGTAAGACTGTTGATGATTTTTCTCCTTCAGCAGTCTGTATAGCACCTTGCCATAGTTAATAGTGAAGAAGCTTTTAAATTGATTTCTCCAACTCCTCTGACCAGCTTTTGTTTTCTCTTTTAGCAACAGGGTCTTTCTGTCAGGTTCTTGTGGTCAACCAAGAGCAATGGTAATAGCATTATTTTAGGGGTCTCTGGGACCTCTTCTGAACAACAGTTCAAAAGAAAATATATCATACCTGGTACTGGGCTTTTGTATTTTCTTTCTTTTAGTAAGGCTTATTTTTGTATGGATCATGGCAGTAGATTCTTGTAATAATTTAGTTGAGAGGCTAGTTGTCGTGGGACATGCTTGCAATCCCAACTACCTTGGTGACTGGGCTAGGAAGATCACAAGTTCATGTCTACCCGGCTGCATAGCAGGATCTTGTCTCAAAAATGCAAATGAAGAAAACTTGAACAAGTAAAAAAAGTAATAATAGCATTTTGAGTAAACAGATTGGATTATTGAAGCACTCAGATTATACTACCAAAGACAAAGACTGTGTTGTGATTAGAATCTGTGCTCCCTTTCCATCTTAATTTTTTTTAAATGTATTTATGCACACTGTCTGTGTGTCTGGCATCTGCAGAGGTCAGAAAAGACAGTCAAATCTCCCGGGAACTGTAATTAATGAATTGCTGTGAGTTAGCATGTGGGTGCTGGGTCCACGTCCTCTGCAAGAGCAGCAAGTGCTTTTAACTACTTAATGCCCACGTTCCCACCCCAAATTGTGTGTGCTTAAAGATTAAAGAAAAAGGAACTTCGATGCTCCAGGAAGTTTTTTCAATGTTGGTGAAAGGATGTATATTTATGCAGTTTTGCAGGCTGGTTTTCACCACAAGTAGGCTACCTCTCAAGTACCCTTTCTTTACATCTGTACCAGATGGGCGATAATATTGTCGCTTTCAACACTAATGTAGATTGAATGTATGCTAGTTTCTAAATGAAAACAAACCAAGTGATATAAGCCTTTAAAAGCTAAGGTTTCAGGAAGATGGGACAGGATTATCTTGCATGTTTTTCTACCTATGGCATGTTTATTGGTGCCCTCAGAATATGTGAAATGTTTTGTGACTATAGGATTTCAGCATTACTATAGATCTTATTGGGACTTTCCCCTCTGATGATTATGAGACAATTAATGATACCATTAATGTTTGATTTGATAAATAAGTAAATGTTATAGAATATTCCAAAAGTAACATTAAATTGTGGGAACTATCAGAGAGCATTTCTTACAAATGAATTACTGTCAAGTATCTTTAATTGTATTGTCAAGTACAATTAAAAAAATTTAAAAACTTAGGGAAAGTAAAGAATTTAAAATGAACTCAGACATATCTGATGAGCTTCCAAAATATTTGACTTTTTTAATATGTCTCCATGTGGTGACTGATGTTCTTAAGTGGAGTTTGCTGTTATCTTTTTTGTGAGATTTTTTTTTTTTTTTTTTTTTTTTTTTGGTTTTTCGAGACAGGGTTTCTCTGTGGTTTTGGAGCCTGTCCTGGAACTAGCTCTTGTATACCAGGCTGGTCTCGAACTCACAAAGATCCGCCTGCCTCTGCCTCCCAAGTGCTGGGATTAAAGGTGTGCGCCACCACCGCCCGGCTTTTGTGAGATTTTTTTTGTTGTTTGCTTTTTATTGACCTTGACAGATCTTAATATTATTTATGAAAGCTAGACCTCACTCTTTCAGATATTGCTTTTGTCTTGAGCAATTTTGTGGTTATATAATAAATAAAAATGTTTTTGTAACCCATGAACTGAGGGTAAGTGAGCTTTGTAGCCCACATAAGTATTTTGAGATAAAATTCATGTTAAGACGCATGCCTTGTGCTCAGTTTGTGCTGGCTCTTAGATGATTTTTAAGATGTGGTTAAATGTGTTTCTGATAACATTCTGTAAATAAAGTTTCTCAACCAAGTGAAGTTTGTAACTTACTTCTTAATATCTTCCTCCAGTTCTTTTCTAATTTAAGTTAAATTTTGACATGTTTCCCTATTGTTTAGGTCCTGATGACAAATTCAGTTCAGACGCAAATTAATAGACTTTTCTTTCTTCAGTGATTTTACCTTAACATTTAACTCATATAGTATTGCACAAAGTTACAGATTTTGAAAGCCTGATAGATCCATTTGAATTGTATTAATACAATTTTTGCATGGGTTTGAATTTGGAGACTACGCAGAGTTGGGTGCTTTATTGTCCCCATAGGTAAGATTTAGGGCATCTTAATTGTGCATACTTAATCATTATTTTGGTACAGGATTTTCTCCATATTCACTAAAGTTTTACTTGTGGTTGCATTTTATGACTATTGATCATGCACAGACTGCTGTGAAATGACCCCATAGGGCAAAGTTATGTCTTTTGGAGAATAGTAGTAGTTCCCAATGCCTCTAAAGAGACTTGATTTTGTAAACTCCTCTTTCCCTCCTTTGCTCCTTCCATCTTTCCCCCCTTTTCCCGCTTTTAAGCAGGTGCAGATGCTTACTCAGAATGTACTTTAGGAAAAAGATTTGTTTAAAAAATTAATTATGAATATGTATGTTTGTATATATGTCTGTTATGTGTAAGTCAGTGAAGGTGCCACTGGAAACAAGAGGCCATCAGATAGATAATCTAGAACTAGAGTTAAAGGTGATTGTGGGCCTCCTAGCATGATGCTAAGAAAGAACTCTTGGGTGTTCTGAAAGAATGGTATAAAGTTTTAACTGCTAAGCCAACTGTCTAGCCCCCATATGTACTTTTTTCTACCAAATGGTTCCTAAATTCCCCTGCTTCTATCCTGACTGTTTGCTTCCCAACCCCGAGCCTTGTCTGCCTTTCTCTTTTGCCATTTGTCCTTCCTTCCTTCCTTCCTCCCTCCCTCCCTCCCTCCCTCCCTCCCTCCCTCCCTTCCTTCTTCTCTCCTTCCTTTATTTGAGCTGTGGCCTTACTCCCCACTGAAGCATAAATAAACACTTAAATTACTTTTAATAATTTTTTATGAAATTATTCTATAAGGATAAGATGTTTCAGGATTAATCACATACCTCCAGTTTGTGGCTCACAGTCCACGTGTGGTTGTGGATAGGTGTGAATGCAACCTAACACAAAATTAAAACAATCTAAGATTTTTTTTTGCTTGCAATTAATTGTATGAGTACTAATGAGTTTTTCATCAAAGTAGCCTAGTGATTGATAAGCTGGCAGTCTTCCCTTCATGCAGACAATGTGGTCACATGGTACCCTTGCTACATCCTCTGTATATGGATCATTCCTGGTGTCTTCTTGTTTCCTCAGGATTTGCCCTCTTTTATTATCCCCTATCTTTTCTTTGTCTTTCTCCTCAGTGTAGCTTATTTTTTGCTCTCTTTGGTGAGCTGATCATCCTTTGAGGGAGAAAAGTCTAACCAAGACATGAAATATGCTAGTTTTCATTTTCTTCTTCCTTGTATCACCAAGGTAATAAGAGTATGCCTCAATAAAGGTTGAAGGCAGTGTTGGAGAAAATCAGCCATGACCCAAAGCATAATATACGATTGAATGAATGTTTAAATATACTGTTGAATAAAAGATTAGCTTCCTCTCTTAACACCTCCCCAGAAGCAGTTTCCCACAAAGGCTAGTAAGGCAGGTTTTCAAGTATTTTGTATATGTTTTTAAAAATAAAGTTTTTTTATTTTAGTTATGTGTACAAGTGCTTGTTTGTATGTATGTATATATGTGTGTGTGTATTTATGTGTACCATGTATGTTCTTAGTGCTGTAAAGGTCAGAAGAGGGCATCAGATCCCCTAGAACTTGAGTTAAATAAGCCAAACCTAGTTCCTCTGATAGAGCAGCAAGTACTCTTAATAGTTTAACTCTTTCTGCAGTCCCTAAAATAATATTATTTTTACTTTACATATAGTAATTATGGATGTTTATATTGTTCAGAAAGGGAAAATCTGCCATTTAAGAGATACATCATTTCTTCATGGTTGAGATATTACCATCCTGTCTGATTTTGAAATATTTAATTAATTGTTGTTAATATAGTTATAGAATATTGTAGGTTAGTAGTGATTAGTATGAAATTGATTGGAAGAAAACAAAGATAAGGGACTGTTGGGTGTGCACTGTGTGTTGGGTGTTTGGTAGCAGTGCTTTAAGAATGGTTGGTTCTTTAATGGCTAGTTCTTCAGAATCTCCAATGAGGGATTTGTCTAGTAAATGCATTCTTATGCTCAGTTATTGCTTTACTTTTTAGTATATATTAGGCACCTGGCAATCAAATATGTATCTAATTGAAATTCTTTCTTAAAGCTTGTGAATTTTATAGTATAAGTGTTATTCTTGGTAAATATTTTTGAAAAAAATTAGCCTTTTTGACAAATACGTATATCACTTTTAAAGGATATGACTTCATTTTTACTAAGAGTTGTAAGAACATTAGAATTCAAGTATGTTTTAAAACTATATGAAATGTTATTTTAACTCATACCCTATTTGCTGTTGATCTTTAGGCTTTTTCCCCAGCAGCTCCCAAGGCTGTGATGCATTTCTCCGTCACAAGATGACACTGATTTCTCCCTCAGTTCTGAAGAAGTATGGCATTCCTTTTGACAAGGTTTGTTCCTCTTAGACTTTCACTAGTAGGCTTTTCATTTTGTGGAATTTGTATTTAGGATGAATTTAAAAGTACTATGTCTTGCGTTGTTAAAAGCACTTTTATGATAGGTGAAAAGAAGCTTATGCTCATATTCTATAACATCAATAATTAATTTGAATACTATTTGAGTATTTTATTTTAAAATATATTTAGAAGAGTTTATGTATATATAATATTTTGTTAGAGAATTCCATGCATAAATACATTATGCTTTAATAAAATCTACTCACTGTACCCTCACATCCAGATCTTCCATTATCTCCCCCACTATTTTTCCATCCAAACTTAATTGTGGTTTTTGTTTGTTTGTTTGATTATTTTTTTTTTAATTCACAGAGTCCACTTAGTGTATTGTAGCTGTATGGGTATAGGATCATGTACTGGAGGATGGATAGCTTCTAAAGGGCCATATATTGAAAGAAAGAAAAAAAAACACTGATTGTCCATTCACTACCAGATATCAGTTGCCAGTAGCATGATTTCCTTCTCTATCCTTATTAAGATTATGCGGATCTCTGTGAGTTCGAGACCAGCCTGGTCTACAAGAGCTAGTTCCAGGACAGGCTCCAAACCAAAGAGAAACCCTGTCTCAAAAAACCAAAAAAAAAAAAAAAAAAAAAAAAAAAAAAGATTCTGCCTATTATGCCTTGCTTGATAGTTGTACAGTTTTTGTATATACAGTCATAACTGCTGTGAGTTCACGTGTGAAATGAAGCTATCATGGCTGGCAGATACTGGTTTCCTGCAGATATCTACTTGTCTGGTTCTTAACCTTTCTGTCCCCACTTCCATAACGATTTTCAAGCCTTGTGTGGAGGACGAGTGATATAGACACTCAGTTAGTGTTACATATCCCACAATCTCTTAATCTCTGCACACTGTCCAGTTGTGGATCTCAGTGTTGATCACTGTCTACTGCAGATAGAAGCTTCTCTGACTGAAGGTTGAGAAATACACTAACCAATAGGTATAAAGCATAGAACTGTGCAAGGGACAGTTTATCATTATGGCCATTTATCCAAATAATTCTGATTGGTCTTCCCCTGGGGCCTATGACCTAGCCAAACAAGAAGTGTGAACCCAGTTAATGGTACTAGGCATATCTTTCATCTTGTAGTGTGGACTCTAAATCTAAGCAAATAGTGATTGGTTGCTACTGTAACAATTATAACACTATTGCACATGTTAGTTTGTCTTGCTGGCCCAGTTTTTATTGTATCTCTCAGGGTTCAAAATTTGCTAAGACTGTTGATGAGTTTTCTTCCCTAGTAGTGTTCTTAACAACCCTTTCTTGCTATGGATAACCAGTATTGATGAAGCTTCTGCATCAGTACCAGCTTGATTTATTTGCCCCCACCCCCATGTTTTATAAGTCAAGTATGTTGTGCCTACTTCAATCAGTAGAGGATAATCAAGAACAATGGCAATATCATGTAATGTTTAGAGCAAATGTTTAGGATAACTTACTGACAAACAGCTCAAAAAGATAACCCCTATTTGGCACTGCGCTTTTTATTTGAGAGTATCATTGTATCTAGGGGAGGCATTGTCCCCTCATTAGTTATAGGACAACTCCATTTAAACTCTTTTTATATGTGCATCTGTTTTTGGAAGCATCTAGATAGTCACCATAATATGCCACTTAAAAATCTATTTAGTATTAATTATCTCTGCCACCCTGATCTCCCATCCTTCCACCCAATATAATATTTCATATTGTTACTCCTTTCCCCCCCTTCATACTATCTGTTTTCTGTCCTTTGAAATCCACCCTCCTACTATGACTGTTAGTAGGTTCCAATTTTTTTTTGAGTATTCCAATTTAAACAAATATCGAAAGATTCAAAGCCAGCATCTAGCACCCACTTGTACAAATGAACATGTGGTGTTTTTCTTTTGGACCGGAATTACCACACTCAATGATTATTCATAGTTCCATCCATTTACCTGTGAATTTCACAATTATGTTTTTCTTCATGGCTGAGTAGCATTCTATTATAGCACATTTTCTAGTTGTTAGGTATCTAGGTTGCTTTGCTTTTCTAGCTATTGTCAATACCATAACAATGAACATGGAGGAGCAAATATCTCTATAGTAAGATATAGAATCCATTGGAAATATACCAGTAATTCTGTAACTGGGTCATATTGTATATCTATTTCTAGCCTTTTGAGTTATCTCCATACAGACTTTCAAGAGTGCAAGTCTTTCATACATGGGGAGTTGAATTTGTATAGACCCAAAATTTTTATCTTATTTTATTTTTCTAAATGTAGCTCTCCAGTTTGACCAATACTATCTGTTGAAGATGCTGTTTTATTTTTGTTTTGTTTTTGTTTTTTTCCTGCAGTGTGCTTCTGGCTTCTTTGTCAATTGTCAGGTGGCTATAAAAGTGCTGTCAATAATCACATGACTGTAAGAGTATGGGGTCATATCTGGGCTCTCAGTTTTATTCCATTGATCAAGGTTTTTGTTTTTATGTCATTGCCATACAGTTTTTATTACTATAACTCTATAGTATAATTTGATATCAATGATGGTAATACTTCTAGCAGTGATTTTATTGTTCATTATTGTTTTAATTATCCTGTCTTTCATGTTTCTGCATATATTTTGCAATTGTTATCTTGAATTTCTGTGAAGAATTGCATTGAAGTTTTGATGAAGATTGCATTGAATCTGGTGATTGCTTTGAGAGCATAATTGTTAATCATATCAGTTTATGAACATGAACTGCTTTAGGAGAATCCTCTGCCAGTGAGAACTAAATGATAAAATTTTCTTTCACTTCATTTAAGATTTTGATAGATTTTTACTTCATTTTCTATTTCTTCTTTTAAAACAGTTTGTAGAATAGCTACTATCTTTTCTAGGATTGACAGATGCCTGGTTCCCAACTATTATTATTCTAGATTTCATTTCATGCTGTTTATTCCTTTATTCTTTTGCCACCTGTGGTTGGTGTTCAGGGCTAGTAAATCATAGTTTGTCTATTCTAGTGTTAAAATTCTCTTGCCATTCATGAATATATTCTTAATATCATAATTAAGCCTACCATCAAGATCATATTGGGTATCTGAGAAGAGCAGTAATGATAAATATCTCAGCTGGGAGAGTTTAGGGTAGTGGAGAGAAGCACAGAACATAGATGACAGTAGTAGGTCCTTTTCCTGTGTTGTATCTGCAGATGAGGAGAGGTGTTCATAGTCAATTCAATTCCAGTAATTGCGGACAACACACAATCTCCGTTTGCATTGTGGGTGCCAAAGATGGAACTAGAATTTTCAGGCACTTCTAACTACTAAATCATCTCATCACCTACAACTTTTCTCATTTTAAAATAGTTGTAATATCATGACATTCTTTGCTTTTTTAAAAATAGAAAATGAAAGTGTATACTAACCGTTACATGATTTGGAAAGTCTTATTGAACATTATGTCTAATCAAACCCTGCAGATCACCCAGGAGGCTGGAGAGTTTATGATCACTTTTCCTTATGGATATCATGCTGGTTTTAATCATGGTTTCAATTGTGCTGAGTCTACAAATTTTGCTACTGTCAGATGGATTGATTATGGGAAAGTTGCTAAATTGGTAAGTTTTATCTGAAAAGTAAAGTGTATTTCATTTGAACTTCTACAGCTTTGTTTTCATCATTCACACTGTGTGCCTCTTGCTATAGTGCTTTTTTCTTTTCAGTTTAGGTATATTTTCTTTCCATGAGCTGAAAATTCATGCCTGAAATTTTTTATTTTGAGATTATTATAGGTCAGTTTGCTCTGAGGAGATTTTTTTTTTTTTTGCTGTGGATGCTTAGTTTCTCTCTCAAAGCAACCATTTTGCTTGCAATATTTCCTATTGACTGTGTATTAAATCGATTTGTATTTCTCTTGCTAAAGTTCAGTCAGTGGTTTAGGAAATAGGTTGTAAAAGGAAGTGATTAGTTAAATTCTTAGTTAAATTTGGAGGCTAAGGGAATGTGGTGAAAAGAAATAAACAAAGCTTCCTTAATACAGAAGTGAATTTCTCAGTAATGTAAAACATACTTTAAAGTATATCTTAACATTTAAGTTGGTATAAAGTTCTGTTTGTAGCTCTTGTCAGCTGTATTTGTTGTAAGTCTTTTTTTTTTTTTTTTTTCGAGACAGGGTTTCTCTGTGGTTTTGGAGCCTGTCCTGGAACTAGCTCTTGTAGACCAGGCTGGTCTCGAACTCACCGAGATCTGCCTGCCTCTGCCTCCCGAGTGCTGGGATTAAAGGCGTGTGCCACCACCGCCCGGCTGTAAGTCATAGACTTTGTTTTTCCATCTACAATGAACAGTTTGTATGAAATTAGTCTGCTTTCACCTTGTGGCTTTAAAACAGGGACATCTTCCAAACAATTGATAGTAATTTTCCTTTTTTATGGCTTTTCAGGAGAAGCAGAATGGTAGAGGGTTATGCCTTAATGAAACTGTTTCACAGTATAGGAAGTTCACATAGAGTCAGTGAGAGAAAAGATAAATGAAGCTTATGGGCCTTACTTTAGCTACTTCATAGTATAATTAACTGTTTTTATTCTATTCTGAGTACAATTATATGTAGAACCATTTTGTGAATTTAGGGAAAATTATTCTTAAGTTATGCGTATTTAGAAGATTCCATGATATATATAAATTCTAGCCTTTGACTACTTAGAAAGCATTTGAATAAATTCTTAAGATGTTTGAGTCTTTGACAGGTCCTTTTATATATACATTTTGGTCATTTAGTCATCAATATCCTCTCACATCCCCTTCCTACTCCCACCAAATCCCTTTTTCTTCCTAACAAGTTTCCCTCCTATTTTTAAATTTCTGTTGTCATCTGGTTTACTTTGTGAGCTACATGGTTCAATTACAGTTGCATGAGAATGGGTGGGGTTTTTTAATCAAACATGGGCAAGTATCTAGTGGCTACACCACTGAAGAAAATGATTAATGTCCGTTTCTGAGGGGCTGTTTGCAAAGGCACAAAGCTGAACTACTTCTTCCTACTAATTTGTGATATGGATCAAAATAAGACCTATCTTCCTTGTTGACAGCTATAAGCAATGAGATAATTTTCACATTTTTGTAGTAAGAGTGGACTGTAACTGGTGAGGAATTGTGGATCTTGGTCTGCATTAGAATCTCATTTGGCTGAAGTGTTATGAAGGAGATGGATCTTAGGTCCAACCTTCCTGCTCTTGCTTGATACTATAAATATATATATAAATATATATATAAATATATATTTTATATATATTAAAATAAGTATATAATAAAAATAAATTTATATTTTAAAAATAAATTACTTTAGGAAAATAATTTATTTTTCAACAAAATTATAAAGATCCTCTTTTTCTTTATTTGCTGTAGACCAGGAGGTGGTAGCGCACATCTTTAATCCTAGTTATTAGGAGGCAGAGATAGGAGGATCTCTGTGAGTTGAAGGCCAGCTTGGTCTACACAGTGAGATCCAGGACAGGCTCCAAAGCTACGGAGAAACCCTCTTTCCAAAAAAAGATGATTATCTCTAAGAGGAGAAGAATATATATGCATGTGAACCTTTACTTCTTAGTTTTGGGAATTTTATTTAACTAGGCACATAGTTATTGATTCACACTTTAGGCTAGCTAATTTAAAATGTTCCACATGTCCTATATAGGCATTTCCCTCACCCCTTTCTTTATCCTTCTCAGGTACTACTCTGCGTACTTTAGTTTTCTATGGCAGGTTTGTTAAAGTACCATGTGTTGATGCTTAGAAATATCATCTCTTTATCTTCGTACAGTTTAGTAGGTTAGCGGCTCAACATTGACCTCACCAGCAAAAAGTCAAGTTGTTTTATAGACTAGGTTTGTTACTGCAAACTGTGGGAACAAGCAGGATTTCTCCACTTTCCCTTGTTTAGGTTGCATCTCAATTATGTTTCTATTGCTATGAAGTAAGATGTGTCTCCTAGCTAACCCCACCCCATAGTCTGACCAACATGACTGCCCAAACATGAACTTGACAAAGACAACACAAATGGACATGACAAAGTGGAGTGGGGAAAGCCCATGAGGTCTTGCCTCCACAAAATACTATTGGCTACAAAGAAAAGCTGGGAATGGGAGAGGTGACGTTTCCTAGGGAAGAGAATACCAATTGGAAACATACGTACAAGTAACATTATACAGACTGAGCAGGTTATATTTAAAAACACATACATACATATGTGTACACACACATTCATGCAATAATAATAATGAAAAATGAAGCCATGAATTTGAAGGAGAGTTGGTGGAGTATAGAAGGGTTTGGAGGTAGGAAAGGAAAAGGAGAAATGTAACTAACTATTAGCTCAAAATTTAAAAGAAAAATTAACAAAGAGACACTATGACCAAGGCAAGTTATAAAAAAAAAGTCATTTAATTGGGGGCTTGCTTGCTTTCTGTTTCAGAGTCCATGGTCATTACAACCAGGCATGGTAGTAGAGCTGTAGTTGAGTTTATATGAGAAAAAAGAATGGGTGTGGGTTTGGGAGAGAGAGGGGGGGGGGGAGGGAGGGAGGGGGAGAGAGAGAGAGGGAGGAGAGGGAGAGACAGAGTGTTAACTGGAAATAGAGTGGGCTTTTGAAACCACAGTGCCCATCTCCATTGACAGACCTCTTGATCATTCCTAAATGCTCCTACCAAATGGAGACCAAGCATTTAAATATGTAGGACTATAGAGCTCATTCAAAACAGTACAGGTTGCTAGCTAAATTTACTACCATAGAGTTGTAAGAGTAATGTGGATGAGAGCTGTATGGCTGGGGGAGACTGCAGGACTGCTGGCAGTGGCACCAGACACCACTGCTTGTACTGACTTTTTGGAACCCATTCTCTTTGGATGGATACCTCGCTCAGCCGAGATATAGTAGGTGGGAGAGTCTTGGTCCTTTCTCAAAGCAATGTGCCTTACCCACTCTGAGGAGTAGATGGGAGTTGGGGTGGAGGAGCAGGAAGGTAGAGGGAATGGAAGGAGAGGAAGGAGTGGAAACTGGGATTGGTATAAAAAATTTTATTTTATTTTATTTTATTTATTTATTTATTTATTTTTTTTTTTGGTTTTTCGAGATAGGGTTTCTCTGTGGCTTTGGAGCCTGTCCTGGACTAGCTCTATAGACCAGACTGGTCTCGAACTCACAGAGATCTGCCTACCTCTGCCTCCCAAGTGCTGGGATTAAAGGCGTGCGCCACCATCGCCCGGCTATAAAATTTTAAAAGATAGTTTGTTTTCTTTTAAAAAAAACACAAAAACCCACAATTTTTTATTTTGAACATTTGTATTATATAAAGAATATCATTTATACACATAAAAAGAGAGAGTAAGATCCATTTTCTTTGCTGATTGACAGGCACTGATTAGGATTTTATTTTTTCTACAGACCTTTCTCAGACTTTTCCATATCATTATTTTAGAACAGGCAGTGTTTAAGTTTCCATTTTTTTTATATAAGACAATATATTTACAGATGTTAGGAATTTGGATGAGACATCTTTAAAGGATTTAGGGAGCCTAATCATCTTCCTCCCATCCATAGTACAAATTAGCAAATGATAGGCTGATGATTGAGAATCTACTTTGCATAAGTAATGGTGTTACCTGCTTAAAATCATAAACTTATCCTTTTAATGGAAAATTTTGAACGTTTCAGTAGCCTATGAACTCTTAGCATTACCATTTCCATTCTTAGTTAATTATTTTTCTTATAGTAAGGTGTGATGTGATTATCTTCTAGACTTTAGTTGTTTTTTATCTCTAGTTTTCAAGGTAGATAATCCTATAAATTTATATCTCATATATATATATATATATATATATATATATATATATATATATGTTAAGCATTTGAGTAATGTGTATTGGGAACAAGTTTATCTGTTTTGTCCATGACTGATATAATGTATGTGTTAGTTATGGATTGTGGTAAGCAGACTTTTAGCTTTGTGGATGCCCTATTTGTTAGTCTTATTATTTGCTTTTTTGAATTCATTCTAAATAGTATATTACATGATTTGTAAATGTAGATGAGTAGAGCTTTTTATTTATTATAAACAAACTTCTGCTTTTTCACAGACAGACAAGTGCAAAAGTGCTAGATAAAGTCTCTGTTGGAGATACTGCATTAATTGATGAGTGTAGCAGGACATGTGTACTGTATATCTTCTTCATGATATAGACATATACATAAGTCATTCAACCATATGCTATGAAATAATTCACATTATTCCAAATTTCTCATTTCTCTCAGAAAAGAATTATTACAAAATGTTATTTTTAATGAAAACAAAACTGATTAGAACACCTTACCATTTTCTCTGTTAGGAGGTCTTTGATTATAAGCCATCAGGCTTGTTTGGTAGAGAAAACTGTCACTACTTTAGGGGACTAGTTGACACGGAGAACCTCTATTTACTGAGACTGTGCTTGTTCTTTTCATGTTGGTGCTGGTCCGGAAACCACAGGTGAGACTATTTGGCATTGCATGCTTCCTTTGTCCTTTGATGCTTACCTTAACCTTCTGATGGTGTGGTGGTTTCTGATGATACTTTTGTAGTGCGTGGTT